CATTTAAATAACTACTATTATGCTCTCCTGCAATTATGTATGTTACTCTGGGTCTAGTTGGGATTCTAATTTACTACCATTTAGATTCTACTAAACAGAGGAAGTATCTCAAAGGCAGTAGAATGTAAAAGCTAAGAATAAGGGATGTGGAGTTAGGCAACTTGAATTTGAACCCTAGCTGTGTAATCTTGGGCAAGTTAATTTACCTCTCTGTGTTTTGGTTTCTTTATCTGTAAAATAAGGGTAATAATATCTACCTTACAGGCTTATCACAAGGATCTAAACAGATTAATTCATGTAAAACGCAACACAAAGCACTTAGCGCAGTTCCTGGCATGCAGTGTATGTTAGATGTTTAAGGTATATCATATACACCTCATCCGCCCACCCATCCTGTTGGTTCTATTTCTTTAGAGAACCCTAAATAGCACAGTTTCAGTTTGAATTCTAAGGTGACTCTTTCTTTCCAAAGGACTAAACTCTTTTCAGCATATAAACTGTTAAGAACAAATCTCCCAGAAGAACTGAAATCAGAGAGGGGACAGGCTACTGTAGGAGCAAGCCACGGCCAGGGTTAAGGAGGTTGGCATGTTGTCCAGAATGGACGTAACCAAATAATAAATGCACTTACAGAATACTCTCTACCCAAAGACCACCTGGAACACACTTGTAGTTGAACAGGTTGTGTATGGGACTCATTGCAGGGAGGGAGAATGCACACCGTGGGCAACCGTAGGGTATCTTAGTAAAACAATGTTGGAAAGGACTTACAGGATTGGGGAATTGACAGTGATGTGAAGAAGGTCCAAAGAAGTAGGTTTCTGGATTGGGTACTTTTAGAAAGAAGAAATAAGTCTATGATTATCTGAATAAATCTCATGTAAGGGCAGGCATTGCAGAGGGAGATTAAATATGTAATTGGTGAAGAAACAGCAGTCACTCTTACGAGCTCAGAGAGGAGGATGTTCAGTGTTTTGTGGCGTGGTTGAGGCTCTATTTTGTCTGTTCAGATGTGGGCAGTCTTGCTTTTGTTTGACCCATCATAATCACAGAATGGCCTTGTCTGATGCTGATGTCCTGTGAAATTGCCTATGTTCAACAGAACACCAAGGCCTCACTAGCACTACCAGGCCAGCTCCTGGGTGTCAGGGCTGCTTTTCTCGGTCTTCACGAAGTTCATTTCTTACTGGCTGGGTGATCCCCATGAAATCTGCAGTCCTGTTTTTTAAATAACTATTTTCAGCTGCAATATCTCAATTCAGAAATTAATCAGGGGCTCATAATACCTTAATTATAATTATAGCAAATAAAATTAAAATTAATTAAGAGGAGAAAATGAAGGGATGCTTAATTTCCATCACAAAGACAAATAAAAAAGAAAACTGCATTCTTCCAAATTTTGGGTTTTAAATACCTCTTTACTTTTACAAACAAAATTTTCCAGCAGAAATGTATAAATTTTATTATATTCATATGATACCCTGTCAAATTTGGGGGAGAAATTGATGAGAGACTATGAATGTTCTTATACTCAAGCCTGTTATAAAAACCAAGAACAGGAAAGATGGCAAGTCAAGTATCTCCTGCAGAGGGTTTGGGAGAGTAGGGTGGGGATGGGGTGCACCCCTCGTCTTCCCTGTCTGTCCCTAAGCACTGGTTATTTCCCAAACAAACCCCATGGAGCCCAGGGAACTCCTGTGTCTCCTGAATTAAGGATCTAGGGACCTCTGAGCTGCTTGTTTCATTATCTACACACGTCCTTATCTTCTCTCCAACGATCCCCTCAGTGCTCTGAAGCAGCAGCATGAGCTACATTAATTTCTTGTGAGATGCATACAGTTTGCACCTCCTACCCCAAAGCCAGGGATGCTTTTGCCTGTGGCAGAATGCCATTGTATATCTGATTGCAACACTAGCCATTCATTGCTGGTGGCGTTAGCAGAATATGGTTGATGATCAGAACTTAGAGCACTTGTCAGGACATACCAAATATACATACCACTTGGTTTTATAACTCTGGCAATAATTCTACATCTAAAGGAAGCTTAAGTGGTTATAAAACTAATTCATAAATTTCCAAGAGGTACCGCTCATTCTTCACATCTAAGGCTCCATTATTCCTGGGCTCATACCTGTGTTAATAGTCACTGCACAATCAAACTGTCTGTGGGAATCAGTGTTAATCTTGAAGACAGAGCAAATCATTAGGTCAGCAAAGCTGTGATCCAGAAGGCAGCTGATGTGTTATTTTTAAAATTTCTCACTGCTAAAATAACCCACATTTGCAGAAATTCCTCCAAGAGACTCAGTAGCTGAAAAGTGGACAAATCTGGCAAGGTCAGATTTCTTTACATTCATCCAATGTGGAGATCAAACACTTGGGCTGGCAAGAAAATTGCACTGTCAACTGCTCACAATACATTGCGTTTCACCCTATGCATCTCCGTGGTTTGGGCTAATCATACATTTTTCATTGTAAGAATTGGCTGATCTTATATTTCTGGTCAAGACAATGGACAAGAGATTGTATAAAAGGAAGAAACATAGATTATCGGGTTGTGGAGGTGCTGGATGCCCAAGAAATCTGAGAAATGACCCTGAACAGGAAGACAGATAAGAAGCAAATGTTTCATCCAATCCACAATTACCGTATTTCATCATGTATAATGCACACTTCTTGCCTACATTTTTGAAGGAAGAATAAGGATGAACACAAGGGCAGTGCCTACAGTACCTTGTATTTGTTTTTGTGTTTTATAATTATTTGTTATATAAAGTTTATTGTACCATATGTTCAAAAATAAATGCTAAAATTCCTTTATAATACCAAAAACAAGTATCTAAATATAAATAAATAAGTAATTGAATTAAAAAATTGAAAGATATTTTTCCTGAAAGTTTGGGTGAAAATGTGGCTGCACATTATGCACGGCAAAATAAGACATCGTAAAGGTTGGTTCTATCTATAACATACCTATCCTGCAATACCCACACAACACACGTCTCTATCAGACAAGAACTTCCATAAGAAAAAAGTCTGCTTCTTTGAATACCATAGACTTTATCCCTTGCCTTATTTGTTTTGTTTCAGAGAAAGCTCAGTGAGGAAACCCAGAGCAGAGCTTCTGTGTGCAAACACAGAACACTCCAGCTCTCCAACTCTTATGTAAGTCAGAACCTCCTGGAGGGCTTGTTAAACGTAAGTATTGGGCCCACCTCCAGACTTTCTGATGCATTATATCTGAAGTAGAAGTTGTAAATTTGCATTTCTGACAAGTTCCAACATCATGCTGATGGGACAGGTTGGAAATTACCTTTTGAGAACCACAGGTCTAATTCTTTCACTTTATTAAAAGAGTCTGAGCTATCTCTTTCCTTGCCCAACGCACTCACAGGAGGCTCAATAAATGGTTGCTAGTGAGTGAATGAAGAAACCAAGGTAGAGAAAGACAAAAGGGCATACCCAAGTCGGATAGTTCTTTTTTAGCCTGGCCCAATGGGAATCACTAGAGAGGGTGGTAGTGGCCAGAGAGACCTATCATTGTAATGGGGAAAAGTACCAAAGTCCAGTTTACAACTAATTAGAATCTGTATAAGTCTTCTATAAAACCCACTTTAAAGGATTCAGTAGAAATTTTCTATATCCTTTTTATCACTGCTGTGGAAAAAGTACTTAATGAAATTACCTTTACAAATGCATTAATTTATTCTACCCTGAGGACATTACATTCAGTGATTTAGCAAAAGTAATCTGAACTAATAACAGACACACATTTCCTGAGACTAAGCAAATTTCCCAGTAGAGAGATAGTTAGCTATTTGGGACAAATGAAGGCTGAGATATAATGATTAAAGAATAGCTGTTGTGTCCAGAATGGGTGACAGTGTTTACAAACAGTAGCACGACTGGAATGCAGAACTAAAATGCATGCTGACAAAGAAAACTATCACAGGGGAGGGGAAAGCCCACCACCACTACACCAGGACATCCTTGACCACTGACAGATGCTCAGGTTCAAGAGATGATCTCCATGTGTATGTCTCCTAAGGTTGCACAAGGAAGAACCACAACTCCTCAGGGCCACTGACTATCCCCATTGCAGTCAGGCAATGACAGCCCGTTCACTTCCATCCTGCCAATGAAATACATATGCAGTGAGTGCTGTCCCTTTAAAAAGTCCTAATCTATTGATAGACCTGAGTTGCAATGTTGCAGCCTACAGGGTGAGCATCACATACCCATTGGCTCTTTTGCTGTAGATGACAAAGCATTTGTAACCCGGGATTTACTTCTGTTTAGAAACACCCAATTTCTGGCATTGACAAGATCTCTCCTAGAAGATTTTTCAAAAAGCATTTATCATATTAGCTTCTCTAAAATAATTTCTCAAAATAGGATCTGCCTGTCAACTGTATTTAGCATCCTGTGGGGGTAGTTTAAAATGTAGATTCCCAATCAATCATCTTCTCTGAATCCACTCTTTTAGGAGCCAGGAAATTACACTTTTAACCTTTCTAGTGATTCTCATGCATATTGAAGTGTTAGAACCACTGCTTTAAGACAGCAATTTTCAACGATCTTCAACGGGTGTGCTGCACGAATTTTTAAAACATACAATACCTGACTATTTAGTCAAGGGCACTGACCTCTTTCCCATTAGGTTGTCAAAAAAAATGACAACAACCAACAGAGCAATAACCGTCTAGGGCAAATGAATCAAAATGATACCTATTTTTTGTCAGATTGGCAAAAAATACATTTTTGGGTATGCTGAAGAATTTTAGTAATTAGCTTATGTGTGCCACGAGATAAAAATGGTGAAAAGTGCTGCTCTAAGAGCCTGACTGTAGGGAAAGAGAATTTCCAAAAAGAAACAAAAACATACATTGAATTTATGAAGGCTCCTTGAAGACATTCAAGAATTTTGCAAGCATTAATGACTGTGTTCTTTCTTCCAACAGGGATTTAAACACAACCATAATAGCAACACTGGGTGAGTAATAAAACTATGGGAGACATGAGTACCTTAAAGGTTATAAGAACGTCATTGTAATCATTAACATAAAATCCACAAAATGAGCTGGTTCTATAGACAGAGTGTGGAAAAAAGACCACACTTTTTCCCACCCAACACACACACACACACACACACACACACACACACACACACACACACCCCTTCTACAGAGGCAGAACTGAAACTTCCTTCAGAGACCCTGGTAAAACCGAGCATTACCCACTTTATGATACGTGTTAGACTAGGCTGAACTGGGGTGAGCACAGGCTCTAATACCTCGATGTCCCCAGTCACTAAAAAGTTCCAAAGCTGAATTTGACTCCAAAGTCTGTTGGGATCTCAGATGTTTCTCTTAGCCCCAATAGACAATGTCAACCCCTCTACAGAAGCTTAGAAAGCCATTAGATACTTCCAGAGCCCTGAAGACACGGTCTGGGTGGGGTTAGTCTCCAGGGAGATTAATAGGAACAGGCAATGGCAATGCACTAACAGAAGGCCCTGGCTGTGGCTTGATTTCTCAGTGCACTGAGGAAGCAGCTGCAGAGAGCCCATAAACTTGACTGGAACTCAAAACTAGAGCTAGTGACACTTTGCATCCTCAGCCAAGCTGGGGTACTCCCTCAAAGGACCCAAGCAAGAGGTAGGAGCCAAGGACGATGAAAGGTAGTGCTAGCATAGGATGTGAATTTCCTTCTCTTTGACATTGCATCATAATATGATTTTTCCATCCCTATCTTGAAATACTTGATTTCCCTTATTGACAGTGTGATATAAAGTCCTCAAAGGGAGAGGGGCTGGGTCCAGTGAACCCTAATAATCCCCAGTGGCCTTGAACTGGTTGCTTAGTAACCCCCATGCACCACCTACTCTACCTTTTGGTTCCAAACAAGATAAAACTTTACCTTTTATTAGGGTATGAGACCAACACTTAAGAGACAGGGGATCTCTCATAGAAGTCTAACCCTGCTGAGCTTATGAAGATAAATAAGAAATTCAGAGAAACTTGTATCACATGGGGAATCTCACAAATTTTCAACAAATATTTAATCTCTACAGACCACTTAAACATGTTAGTCACAAGAAAAACAAAGGCATAATGCTCTTTTTCAAATTCCCTGTTCTGATCCTACATGGAAAATATAATAATCTCATTTGTAATGAGAGAGGAAATCATTTGTTCTTAAGAAAAAAGTCATTTGAAAAGGCCATATTCTGGATGCTACAAAAATGTGTTTGCTCATTTTAGGAGTGAAAAAAGACAGTAAGTAGACACATGCATATCTTACAGAAATAAATATGTATATTTGCACATATGTGTAAACCTGCATTTTTTCCCCTGATTCCTATTTGATCCACATAGCAGATACAAGCCTTATTGCTTTATTTCATAGGATAATCACACTTGAACCTGGAACAGACCTCTGTATCCAAACTGTACATTTTACGGATTGGCCAAATGAGGCCTAAGACAGTTCAAAGTGATTTCTGCAAGACCACGTGGCTGCAAGGTCATACAAGACAGAATGGAAACCTGTATTCCCTAACTCCTGGCCCACTGCTGTTTCCAAAGAACCATAAAGTCTCTACTGAGATCCCATATAGCTTGGTTAAAAAGCATAAAACGTCCTTTCACTGCTCCATCTGTAATAGCCGGTGTATGGAAGACACAGCACACACCAAAGGTGTGGTGGTGTTAGGAGAACAACTGCCCTGCTGTGGCTTTCAGGGATGGCACTGCCCTCAAGTCCCTCAGTTCCAACAAAGTTGACACTGTGGAAAACACGCATCTGCAGGTGGTGAGTAAAAATAGGCAATTTCAAGCCTTAGGATGATTTGATATTTCTTACAGCTCTTGGCAAATTCCATTCAATTCTGTGCAATAGGAGTTTACTGTGCATTAAGAGCAGGGGTGGCTAGTGCCCTGTGCGTAACCCCTTGGCATTTGCAATTTTCTTACAAAGCACCTCTCTTCCTGCAAGCTTTCTGAGGTGCAGGTGTGGACTGGTACATGCAGAGCTGGCCACAGTGCCCAGGAATTAATACCCCCTGGAGTAAACCTCAAACAACGGTGTAACTGCCATGTGATTAAACACTCCAGCTTCCTCACCCCTCAGCTGGGGCAAATCTGAGACATCAGGTAGGTGGTCTTCCACAGCCTCCAGCATGCACTGAGCCCCAGATCCCCATGGGGGAACCTGCTCTTCCATGTCTCCTGAATTTGCTCCATTTATCTCCATTTCCCTGCTCTCCACAGGTAATTTCTGGGATTATCATCCGGATCAATTACTTGAACTCACATGTTTCAGGGTCTGTTCCTAGAGGAATCCAATGTAAAATAAGCATATGCTCTGTACAAATCGCTTTTTAATAATAGGTATCAAGAGATATGAAGATGAAGAAGATAATGTCTTGGCCACCATGAATAATGCTGCAGTGAACAGTGGAGTACATAAATCTTTGTGCCAAAACATAGGAACACCGAAGTGTTCTTCAATAGATGACCGAATGAAGAAGCTGTGGTACATACATGCAATGGAATGCCATTTATCCTTAAGAAAAGATGAGATACTGCCATTGCGACCACATGGTTGGATCCTGAGAATATCATGCTAAGCAAAATAAGTCAGAGAGTCAAGAACCATATGATTTCACTAAAATGTGGGATATAAAACTGAAAGCAACAAACAGACAAACGAGACAAACACACAAAAATCAGACAACGTAAATGGTGGTTACCAGAGAGAAAGGTGGTAGCAAGCTGGTAGAAAAGGGCAAAGGGGGGCAAATATATAGTGATGGAAGAAGATCTGACTTCGAGTGGCAAACACATAATGCAATATACAGATAATGGATTATAGAATCGTGTACTTGAAGCCTATATAATTTTATTAAGCAATATCACCCCAATACATTTGCTAAAATTAAATAAATAAGTTAAATTAAAGTTAAGAAAGAAAAAAATATTGTTCCCTCAGAAGGCTGAGGCTGGGAAGGATAAGACAAAATACTTTGGGAGAAGACCAGAAATATGCAAGAAAATATATTCACCCATGAAGGAGTCTCATAATGAAAAGTGGAATTTGCCATTAAGAACCCAGCATGAAATTCTCTCAAGCAGGAAGGAGTCGGATAGGCAAAGTGGTAACATTACCCACAGCAAATAAACAACCAAGGTCCCAAGTTTACCTGGAAATGTGTGTCAGAGAATCTGTCACTGCTTATACAGTACAATGCAAGCCTGAATGATCAATACAAACTGAAAAGACTTCATACAAACCAAGATTGTGTTTCAGTACTGAGAAGGACACAAAGCCCCCCAAACTGGTTGGACAAGTTTAGTTGGTTATTTTGCATCTTGCATTTGATGAGTGTGAAAACTATATGTCTTATCATTCAATTCTGTCAAAATATCTAATTTCTGTAGAAAGTGAACAAATTAAACAGTGCAATTTTGTGTTATTAGGTTGACAAATCAGCAATTTGAATTTTCACTTGAGCTACAGGCCATGCCAGAGTCACCCAAACATTTGCAGGTCACAGACATCGGCTGTGCAGAACCCTATAAATAACTCTCCTTTAGCCCAAGACAAGTTACTGAATGAAAATGACAAAACAGAGCAAGTTGAATAAACATATATGATAAGAAACCTCAAGGGCATCCTTCAGCTGATAAATGCTGAATTTTTCATGATGTGTGGTTCTCGCTGGTTTGTCTTATGAGCTAATAATTAGAAAGTACCTAGCTATAATACGCTGGGATCTTAAAAACTCTATTCTCAAAACAACTTAGTAAAGCAGAAGTTATTAGTATCACCCTTTTATAAATGAGAAAACTGAAATTTGGAGATGCTCAGTAATTTGCTGAAGGTCACACAACTATTTCATCAGACCCTCAAATGTAAAGTGTCCCCAAAATAACACAGTGTCTTCCTTCAGAGCCAAAAAGAACACCAATATGTCAGCTTCAAAGGGTCTTGTCTCAGGAGATGCCAAAGATGAATCTGAACAATTATCAGCTGAGAGAAACTTATATTTTAGTAACACAGAGTTGAAATTCTTACTTGGTCAAATAACAGTTTTAGGGAAAATAAGTTTTTAAAATGCCTTCTTTTTTTGGCTAAGCATTCTTTTGTCTACTATCAAAAGAAAATGAATTCCCATGTTATCTAAATTCCATGTAGTATACCCCAAACTAGTATTTATCTCCAGAGACACAGAAGATTTTTCTCAAGGGAATGTTTCAGGATTCTATACCAATGGTATTTTGAAAAGGATGTTCAACACATTAGATTTCATAGAAGACTCACACAGAAATGATAACAATGTGAAAAATAAAATTAACCTAAACTAATTCAATTTTAATCAGACAGATTTAATAAAATTCCCTTTATCAAATATCTTTTAAAAAATATTTTAGCCCTTTATTCTTCATATCTTATCCCCTAATTCAGTTGGAATAAAGTTGTTCTACTCTCTATATAGCCTCTTATTTTAGGTTTCCCCCCAAGTTGACAAAGTTCATCTGTCAAGTGATCCCAGGAAGGATGTGAAGGAGTGAAGAAGGGGGAAGAAAGCCAAAAAGGTACAATAATGACAAAGTCATCACCACGGGCAGCTAGCTGGTGTTCTACCTTAAATTTCTCAGAAACGACATCGAATTCCCTTCTGAATGGCCCCACTGAGGAGTGAGGAAGCTGGATGATTTCTGCACCATTGCCTTTTCTGCAATGGTCAAGGGTAACTGGGGGCAACTCCCCAGCCATCATGGCCTACTCAACGTGTTGGGCCTGGTATGTTTCTCTAGAGACAGAGAAACCTGTATGTTCATTCAGGGTTGTTTGCAAGTGCCCTTGGATTGAGTCAGTGGGAAATGGGCAGGGCACTGCCAGCATCTGCTAAACTGGGGCTACTGGTACACCTTACACCTTTCCACAAGGAGCTGCTTTATTTTTTAAAAGATTTTAATTATTCATTTTTAGAGAGGAGAGGAGGGAGCAAGAGAGAGAGAGAAACATCAATGTGTGGTTGCCTCTTATATGGCCCCCACTGGAGACCTGGCCCACAACCCAGGCATGTGCCCTGATTGGGAATTGAACTGGCAACCCCTTGGTTTGGAGCCCGTGCTCAATCCACTGAGCTACACCAGCTAGGGCTGAGCTGCCTTATTGATTGACTTAGTTTTCCAACTTTCCTGAACATAAAGATGACCTGAAAAACTTAGGAAAATGCAGATGTTTAGTGCCCCCCATTCTGATTAAGATCATTGATTAGATTCAAGAATCAAAATTTTAACAAACACCTCATTCATTCCAAAGCAGGTGGTCCCCGGGCCACACTGTGACATTTCTATGCTAGTACAACCAAAGACCATGAGTTTATTCCCATGTGGGTTCAACTGTGTCTCAGAGAAAAACTCTGAGTTGGCCATGGATAGACCTTACTTTTCTATGTGCCATTTTTTCAAGTATAAGCTGTTGTTCATAAAGAAAACATAATGGGAGCATGTGGGTGGGTTAGCACATTGCTGGTCTAATTCTGGAAAATCACTTTAAATATATGTACACCCAACTGATCATGAGTCAGGAGTAAAATGACCAGATGTCCTCATGTGAGAGTGACCATACTTTCCCAACACATGGTGTGATGATTAAATGTAAACTTAAGGGGGATGACAGAAGAGTTGACAGTGGGACAAAAAATGAAGTCACTGTATCTATCTATATATACACTGGTCAGGAATCTTAGGGGGAAACAAGATACAAGTCTCTGCTCCAAGGAGCTGGCATATAAACCAGTGCAGTTTTGTGAAGCATCAAAGCTAATGCAACTTTTGAGATTGTCTTTTTTCAAAGTTTTCGGAGCTATGAGAAAGGGTGAAATGGTAGTTCCGAAGGCAATTTGGCATGCTCACTGGTTTGTTGATAATGTAGATTCCTTTCATATTCTCTCATCTGTCTACTATGTATTAGGGAAAGCAGGCAATGTGGGCCCTAGGGCAATACACTTTTTCCTCGCCAGGAAGGATATTCTTCAGTCTGGGAGAGATGGTGTCTATAATGAATAGACAAAATCTGAGCTCATGTCTTTTCCCTTTGGCTCCAGGTTCTCATCACCACTTCTCTTTGCCATTTCTTATCAGCAGTAAGGTACAATCTTAAAATATCCAGGAGTGTTCTGGTGTCCCAAAGCCCTTAGGATAAAGTGCTCAATACGACCTGCAAGGCACTTCATGATCTGGCCACTGTCTGCCTCACCAGTCTCTGCTGTCACTATTCCCTATCTTATAGTCTAAGTTCCAACCTTGTTAAAACTCTTATAGCAATTCGAGTTCCCAGTAACTTCTTAGGTCTTGGCCCATGCAAAACTGTCCCCTCCTCCAGGAGTTCTCCTCCCAGGAGCCTCTCCTTCACTTGGGTAGCATCTCACTGGTCTCCAGGAATTGTCTAAATGTCAACTTCCTTTGGGAAAATTCACTGAGCCTTTGGAAAGGTGAGTCAGAGCTGTTACAGGATCTTTGTAGGCTTTGGGCACTCCTACTCGTGAAGACTCCTCTTCATATCGTGTTAAATATATGAAGATATACTATATTGTGCATTCTGTAATTGTTCTTGCTGAAAACATTTTGAAGTCACTTTTATTGTTCTGCTTTTGAAGTTATTTGGCTATGAATAACTAATTTAATTTGCTATGGATTACTACAAGGTAAGAGTTACAGGTTTGGTTTCCCGCACAGTTAATAACCAACTGCGTGATCTTAAACAAGTTGCGTAACCTCTCTGATTCTCAGTTATCGAAAGAAGAGGCATTTGTATAAGTGATCTAAGGTCCTGTTTAGCAATAAGAGTCTATGCTTTTATCAGTAACTGTGGGGAGATGTTTTTGGTGATGGTAATTGTATGGGAGTGGGAACAGGGGATAGATTCTTTTTTCCACTGATATAGCATGCACCAAGGTGACTGAAAACCGCAGGTAGGTACTGAGACCAGAGCTTCCAGCTGAGGGAAAAAAGGGCAGTTCCACAAATGTATATAGACAAGACAGGCTTAAAACTGAAAATAAGATATATAATGAACAATTTTTTAAAATCCTCACCCAAGGATATATTTATTTATTTTTCAAGAGAGAGGAAGGGAGAAAGTGAGGGAGAGAAACATCATTATGAGAGAGAAACATCGACTGGTTGCCTCCCGTGTGTGCCCTGACCGATCCAGGATCAAACCTGCAACCTAGGTATGTGGCTTGACTGGGAATCGAACATGCAAACTCTTTGGTGTACAGGGACAATGCTCCAATGAACCAAACCACCAGGCCTGGTAATTAATTCTGCTCTGAGAGTAAAGTGAGACTTTGGATTTTTTGTGAATATAATGAGTTTTCAAATGAGTTTTCAACAGTAAAATGACAACAAACTCACGACTATCAACAACTGAACCTAAAAAAAAAGAAAAAAACAAACTAAGCAAACAACTACAACAGGAACAGATTCACAGAAATGGAGATCACATAGAGAGTTATCAGTGGGGAGGGGGAGGGGGAAATGGGGGAAAAGGTACCAGGAATAAGAAGCATAAATGGTAGGTACAGAATAGACAGAGGCAAGTTAAGAATACTATGGGAAATGGAGAAGCCAAAGAATTTATATGTATGACCCATGGACATGAACTAAGGTGGGAGAACAATGGTGGGAGGTGGGGTACAGGGCAGAGAGGAACAAAGGGGAGAAAAAAATGGGACAACTGTAATAGTATAATCAATAAAATATATTTAAAGAGAATTCTGTATTTCATAGTAGACATCAATCACTTAGTACAATCTTAAAACTAAGTTATTTAATCTTTTTCTGATGGAAAAATAAATCAAGTTCCATGCAAACGATACATTTAATCCCAATGCCAAGAGGTAAATACTGACTTTTGTGCCTTCCTTTTCTTCATAGGCATATGATTGCATAGGCACATATGCAGAGTTCCAAAAAGACATCCCATTTGATGTCCGTGCTGAAGAACTTCAATGAAAAGGTTATCTGGCTTGGAGGCTGCAAGATCTATGGCCACAACGCTTACACACCTGACATGTCTGAGAAGTTAGTGAGTCTGAAGATGCACAAAAACATTTCCCATGACTTAATCTGCATGGAGAAAGTGGAAGGAAAAAAAGAGGTAGAAGAGACAAAGTGTGTGCACCTTAGGGACGGGCCCTTCCAAGTGGATTCACGTGTAAGTTCTCTGAACAGAAGGGCTGCAGAGAAAAATAAGACACAGCAGTGCCCCATTGTTCTCAGGTGATGAAGTGAGACATGGAGTTCAGGAGCAGGACTTCTTCCCCCCCCTAGTGTAGAGGAAGTCCCTGGGGGGTTAGATGTTAGCATTTCCCCACATGAGCACAGTGTGAGGCAGTTTTGCATGGCCTCTTTGCTTGAGGAAATGAACGTGCATGGCTGGAGATAATGAGGAAAATTCTCTAATGTTCTGGGTAACAAGAGCCCAGAGATGGCTTGAGCCTGGATCATCCTGAGCACAGTGATGATCCAGGCTTAACTGGGGAAGATTACAGGGCTGCTGGAATTCTCTGTGAGCAACAGCCGGTGAAATTCAGGTCCTTCCTGATGTCACTGCTGGATGTATTCACAGTCTGGTGAGGCCTGGGGAAACTCAGGTCATACACTGTTCTGAACCCATGCCTGCTCCCCTTTACTGTCTAACTTGAATATTTTTTCATGGAACTAAATATTTTTCTATAGTACCATTTGTATGGATGCATAGTGTTCCATTTTTTGAATGAAAAATAATGTTTAACCACCCCCCATAGCTTACAATTAGGGGCTTTTTATCATCATTAATGATTTTATAATAAATCACCTTGCAGCAAAGTCTGTCATATCCATGATTATTTCTGTAGAGTAAGAGTGTACTCTGGGGTCCAAAGGGGAATGAATACAAAGTCTTGAAGACTTTTGTACACAGTCCCAAGCTGCTCTCCCTACAGATTGCTATTTTTATACTTCTTTTATAAGTGAGCATTCCTATAAATTATATTTTTATATGCTGTGAGATAGATTCGAATGTTTTTGTTTGTTTTTTTAGAATAAATAATCATAACTTTGCATTGACTTAGAAATTAGGTTTTATGTAGTCTTGGAATTAAGATTCAAGAAAAATAAAAGAGTTTGGCCAGTTTCCCATATCAATGACTACTTACGCCGGTTCCTGATAGATTTAAAGGATAGCTTTTATGCAAGAAAAATGAATCAGAAAGAATAAATGCACCTGCAGGCTGTGCAAAATAATATACTGCAGCAGGATAAGAGGGTATCTTTTATAGCTCTTGAAAAATGCAACATGTTCAGTCCAGACAGAGTCTGTCATTATCTTGCTAGGGTTGTCTAGACTCATGCCCCATAGGGAAAGTATGTAAAATTCTATGATGATCAGAGTATTGTTGCATCCACTCAACATCATGAAGAATGCCTGGTTTAAGGCAATGAGTTAATTCTCAGGGAAACTGATAGGGAGAACATTGCTATAGGGTGTACACCGTGGACACAGAGTGATCTGGGAAACTACACAGAGTAGATGGTAGATTGAGGACAGCATTCCAGGGTGGAATCTGGGACAAGCCCCTTGGGTGTGGCTAGTTCTTACTAAGACTGTCATCTTTGGGTGGTCTCACTAAGACAGGTACCAGAGTCAGAGGGGAATATTGATGGTCTTCTAGACTAGTCACTCACGCAGTGCTCAGGGCTCCTTTCAGCTTCCTGCCACTTGGCAAACTGATCTCTGCTTGAATCCTCCAGTGACCGGAAACTCTTCCTATCAGTGCCATTCAAGAAACAAATCATTTAACAAATAAAAAAACATGCAAATATCACTATTAGTTAGAACACAACCAAGTAAAATCTGTTATTATCTGCATGATTTAGGACTTAATTTTTAATGGGAAGAGAAAAATCAAGAGGGCACTATCACTTAGATATTTTGTAGGGTGCACTGTATTTTGCTGCATATAATATGCACTTTTTTTCACCAAATTTTTGAGGAAAAAATAAGGATGTGCATTATACATGGGTATAATGATTACATACCATGGGTATAATAATCCTGTGTATAATGCACACAAAAACATGAGTGGGCATTATACGTGGCAAAATACAGGTATTTTCCTACCCACTTAGAAGTTGGGCATGGCTATATTTTGGTTGCTTTGGCTATTGAAATGTGTGTGGGAAGAACCTACATTAATTACAGACACAGCTTTAAGAGCCTGGTTGTGAGTTTCTGTGTTTGCTTCTCTTTACCAAAGTGAATATGGAAATATGTTGAGAGAGAGCCTCCAACAAGATGGGTCCCTGGTGATTGTGACTGGGCAGAGACCTCCTACCAACTTGCACAGGACTTGCAGTGTCAAAAATCAGTTTGTTTTAGTAAGCCATTGAGATTTAGGTACTGTCTGTTATTGTGGCAAAACCTTACTGACTGTCAGAGTCCATCTTAGTTGAGATTATTTTAAAACACCAATTTACCATATATAGCCTTGGTCATATATGTATTTGATCCAATCTCCTATATATCTACAGCTTTAGCAGCATGTAAACACAATCCATGTTCAAATACCTTAATATTAAAAAAAGATATTTAATAATTCAGCAGTGGGAACTTACTAAGGAACAAACTGAACTAATACATATTAGAGAACTGTTCAAATCTTAGAAGAGTATGTATACTGAATTCAGCTTACAGTTTATGTGTGGACAGGCAGAGGGGAAAGTGGGATCCTGTAAGGGAGAATGCAGGGGAGCCTCAACTATAGCAGTGTTGGGAACTGCCCCGCCTAGTTTCAGAAGCTGTGATCCCCCATGGCTAAGGCTGAGTAAAAAGACCTTGTAACCATAAAGCCACTAAGGAGACAAAGCTTATCCTCTGGCAGGGGTACTGCCTCTGCCTCCTTTACTTCACCCTGCTTGGCCCCGGGCAGATGACTGGCTAGGCAATGACAGGTAAGATTCCTCAAATGAGGGATGACCTAAGACAGGCATTGTCTTGATGGCACTGTCAGGGAAGGACTTGGGGGGCTAATAGAAAAAGAAGGTGATGGCCCCTCACCCCTCAGCTTTGACATAGCCTGAGTCCTCATGCTGTCAACTCTCCTGATCTCTTGGCTAACTTACTTCCCCTGCCTGACTTAAGCCTGAAACAATGCCAGAGGGCAGTGCAGCCTGGGTGGGAATGGGTGGTTCACCCAGGTGAATAGACCTAAGAAAGAGTGCATAAAATCCTGTGAAAGCTGCTTTGCTAAGAATGTCCTCAATTTTCTGATAAGGGTCCAAGCATAAAATGAGTTTGTTTCCCAAAGTTTTATGGCCCTTTAGCTATCTAACCCTGACTCAGAATAGTCCCTCATGCTTTTTAAAATGTTACTATTGTTTGATCCTTACTGCCTGACAATGATTCATGAGCTTTACCCGTATTCATCTGCAAATTGAACCCAATAAAAGCCCATTGAGGAAGAGGCTCAAGGCCCTTCTCCTTTGGGAGGTCGGCCACCTTTCCTCCCCAAGCAGATCATGTCATGATAGACTTATTCTCATCCGTGACAGCCAATGGGGGCTCTGCTGGACAAAGCTCCCCCACATATCATTATGTTTTATTATTATTTATTTTAAATCTGAACCAAATAATATCAAAATTTAGGGTTTTGTATGGCTAGGTTATAAGTACTTGAGTGATTATATTATTTTCTATCATATAGAGTATACTTGAGATCATTTAAAATATATTTTCAAAAGAATATTATTTAATAATAATTACTGAAGTTAAAGGGGTTTTCTGGTTATTATTAGCTAACCTGAATCTCCATCAAACAAAACGTCCTATTTCCCAAAAAGTTCCAGAGAGCTGATTTACCTGGATTACATGTATGAATGGCCCATGGGCAAGGACAACAGTGTGCGAACTGACTGTGGGAGTGAGGAGTGGGCTGAGCAGAGGATGGAAACTTGGGACAACTGCAATAGAATAACAATAAAAAAAAAAACCTAAGTCACAAAGAGTGGCAGATTGTAGAAAAGGAAAGTCATATTTCAACATTATATGTTAAATTTTTTTACCTCTGACCATATCAAAAAGGACTGCCTTACTCTGTGTCAGTTCTCCACTGAGAAAGTATACTTCTTCAGTGTGTCTGTGAGACTAACCATTAGGCCTACATATGCGCAATGGAAGTAACATATGATGTGCATTTATGTTAAATTAAAATCCCAACTTTACCACCTGCTGGCTTTGTGGCCTTCAGTGAGTACAGCTTCTCTGTACCTCGGTTTCTTCATCTGAAAGTTGAAAGTGAAGACAAATTCCTGTTGCCCAGGGTCAATATTATCCATTGATGTTTTTCAGTATTCCAATATGTACCAGAATAGTATGCAAATGTCAAATATGGTATATTTAATGGTATGATACCATTATTTGGGGATTTAAAAAAATCCGAAGTCTGAATAACTTACATCTTGAGATATGTGCAAAGAGTTATATATGTCATTACAATGTTGATGAAAGCAAAGGCGCTCTCTTCCTGACCACATCCCTGCCTATTCAAGATTCTTGCCTGACATTTTATAGTGAAGAGCATGACCATTTTTGGAAATCAGGAAGAGGGTGTGGTAGAATTATAAAAACAAGGGATTGGAAGGTCCTCAGGCCCAACTCCCAGTCCTTCCCTTAGGGACCCACCACCTGATTTCCTCCAGATCTGTTTCCTCCTCTCCCAATACTTTGTTCTCCTGAGCCAGATCCATTTTCTTAGTCCTAACTTCTCTTCCCCTTACCCTCACCCATGACAATATATTTAAACTGGGATCTTGATCCCAAAACATTGAACTTGGACAGGCTCAATGCTAAAGAACAGAGGAGCCCTCACTCAGCTGGAAGAGCATCTGACAATAAGGATAAAGGGTAATGGCAACCATATCTCATTTAAAAATCAACACTGGCACTTTGATACTCTGAAAAATAGGTACCTAAATATTGGTATTGTCCTTTTGCTCCAGTATTACAAACACTAGTCAAAATAATGACTAAATAATCAAAAAATGGAAAAATACTTTACAATTTGCATTTGTCACTGCAGTTTATAAGACCCACAAATTTTTCATTGTTTTGTTTGAAATCTTATCCAATAGCACCTCAAAATGTATTCTAAAAAGAGTGTTCCCCTAAACCTACATTACTGTTTATCTGGGGATTAAATTGTCATTGCCCCTCTGTCAGGATTTTGGGGGGTGTGTGTTGTGTGTGTGTGTGTTTGGTTTGTTTCATTTGTTATTTTTGTTCTTATCTATTTTATGTTGGGTAAGAGCTGTTATTTTTAATTATTTTTTGTTAATATTTATTAGACATATGACTTGGCAAGGACTTTCAGGTTCATTACTTCATTTATTTCTCAAAAGTGCCCACTGGAAGGTTGTTTTTATTTCCATTTCACAGATGAAGCAATTGAAGTCCAAAGAAGTTACCATCAGCAACAATAGATGACGGGTTGCAACCCAGGACTTTTTTTTTTCTTTTTTTTTTAAATTTTATTTAGTTATTTTTCAAGTACAGTTTTTTTTTTTTTGTCTATTTCTCCCATCCCAGCCCCCCCACCCTGTGCTCCCCACCTCCCTCCCATTTCCACCCCTCTTAGTTCTCGTCCCTGTGTCCTTCCTATTTGTTCCTCCAAATCCCTCCCCCTTTTTCCCCCTTCCCTCTCCCCTCTGGTCACTGTCCCCTTGTTCTCTATTTCAGTGTCTTTGGGTTTTTTTTTTCTGCTTGACTGCAACCCAGGACTTTTGACATCAGGTTACTTTCTCATTCTACACAATTATACATGAGGATAAGATTTTTATATATTCTCCTAGGCAAAAGCAGTTGAGTTCTAAAAAACATTAAAGGAGAAAAAGTTCTCAATGCGACTTAAATATAAAAATCTAAGGCAGTAACAATCTAAGTCTCAGAAACAAGGCATTCAGAGCTGCTAAATCTAAGTACCTGTAAGTAAAGATCAGAAAGCAAGACCAAGACTCATTCTTTTTTACAACCTGAGGCACACAAAATGAGAGAAGCATTGAGGCAGTACTCGGTTTCTAAAAATGATGATGTGAAATTCCTTCACTTATGGCCCCAGAGAAAAACACTCAGAACCATCAGATTCTTGCAGAACTTCATGAGATTATTTATCTTCAGGCTGGAATTTATAGCAATCACCTGGTAGGTTCAAGCTGAGAAAAATGAGTTGTCAAACACAGGCCATAAAAATTGCAGGTACAAGCAACCGCCAAAATGATAAAACTGTCACATCGGTACACATCAAGAAACAATTACATTCATTATGTCCAGACTCCTGGTACTCAATATTGTCTTCCAAGGAAACTAAGCTTTATTTTAAGTTTTGCTGTTAGCACAGGTATATTTGAAAGAAACTTGACTGAGTTATTCATGAGTTTATAGAAAATGCAGTGGAATTGTTGAGAGGAATTTACTGGTATCTGGGAAGATTTTTCAAAGGGATATCTCGGTCTTAAGCATTTTGAAAAAATCATATCTGCTACTGATTGTGGAGGCCTAGAAGACAGGAAGCAGCTCATATTCGTATTTTTTAGAGAAAAAGTGATCCTTCAACACCCAATTGAGTGTTTTCCCCCAGGGAAGTCCTTCTTCTGTAGATCCTCAAGTAGGAGAGAGGTGCTGAAATGACAGAGAAGAAAGGAGAAAGGAGGGAATCAGGGAGTGGGGACCAGAAATACGTGGTGAGACAAAGGTGGAGAGGGAGGGAGGGAAGGTGGAAGGAGGAAAGGAAAGAGAAGGAAGTAACATGGATAAAAAATTACCATAGAGAGAACATTTGATTATTTAAATCCCTATTTTTAGCTATTTTGTTTTAAGTCCCTTTATCCTCACCAATTGTTAATATTATTGAGTCCAAGGAACAAAAATGAGAAAGGAGATCTCCTTGTGTTCATTTAAAAGTTGTTAATTTTCCACTTCTTTTCCTACTCCTGACTTCTCTAGCTTCTGTCTACTTCAGTATTTGCTACTTTCACTCGCTCTGGTAGAACTCTATCAGTGAAGAGCTGAAGCTGTTGGGCAGAAATATTGTTGTGGACCTTCCTGGAATTTTAGTGATTCTGGATTTCCCTCTCCTTAGCGATAGAAATGTCCTATTCTGGCCCTTAACGTCATTATTCTCTCGTCAATGGCTTTCTGTTTAAGAGGCTCTGGCTAGCATGACAAGGCACCTTTAATGATTAGCTGACACTGGGAGATGGACAGAAGAGACATTTTACTGAATGCTATCTATCATTCTAGGGCTTTGTTTCTGGAACTGCCTGCATTGCCTACTACACGTCATACTTCTAATACAGTCTGTTGTCCTCTGCTGTTCACCGCCTCCCTTTCAGCCCCTTATCTTCTATAGGTACTCTCTGAAATCTACACATTTTGCTCTCTTCAGTGACATCTTAACTTCTCCTTTTAGTTTGTAACATTCAAGGATTAGCCTAAGCAGTGCTCTCCTAACTTGTCATCACCATGAGATCTTTCGCGTTGCATGCTTCTTTATCAGACAGCTTCTCCCCAGCACTGTTTCGGACTTTTGGGTCGGTCACATGCAGGCTCCTACTCTGTCAGCAAGTTTGACTTGAGAAGGCTAGTTGGCATCTATTCTCCTCACCAAGTGCCAGTCCAAATTCTGTGCTCCTATAGTTAAAATCACCAAGAAAATGCACATCAGTGCTCCACTGTGGGCCCTAGGTATCTGTCATTGCCATTCTCCATCCCCCACACACATTGCAAGCATGGCCCAACAATCATGGCTGTATAAAAAACTTGGTGTGATCCAAATTACAGAAGCCTATTTGGTACGTAAAGTTTGCAAGAGGGGCAAAACACATAATGCCTTGGGGGAAAATAGGTAGTAAAAAAATGTGTGTTGAATGAATGAATGCATTCAGAGACAAAAATAGCATGAAAACATTCCACTGCAGCATCTGCAAACAATGACGATGAAATTCTTTCGTTGTATTCTTTTTAATTTACAGGTGAGCTGAGTCAAAAAGGTTACTAAAATAAGAGTCATAACTGATTAAACTGATGGTACAGTGGACCTAGGTGGGAACAGAGAAAGAGGTACATGTCAATCTCAGCAACAGGATTTGGGCTCTAATGTCCATGAAAATAGGTCATGAGGACTTGAGTTGGAACAGACTCCTGTGTAAAAGGCAGAATTTCTGAAAGCTTGCTTTTCATTTAAGAGGAAATGAGTTCTCTATGCATCCACCTGCTGGCACAGGAAGACTACAAGGAAAGTGAACTTTGGCTAATCCTACTTCAGTAATGTGCATGTTTGGATTGTGGATGTAGAAGCCTGAGCCCAAGAGAAACATGCATGTAGAATTCCTTCAAAGACATACTCTTAAAACTTAAGACCCACATGAATCCTACAGAAGAAGCAAGTTCTGTGAAAAATGAGCTGAAGACAAATTATAAAAATGAGCAGGGTAATAATCCCCCATGAACTAGAGACAGCAGACACAACATTCAGGAAAATTAGAACACCGATAATTTCAGATAACAGCATACTCTGAAAGAACATAAAAGAAAAACCATAAGCATAAAAACAGGTATATTTTTTAAAAAGTACATAGAACTTCTAGAAATTAAAAAAAAGATAGCTTTAAGAGACACTGAATATAGAAAGAATGACAAGAAATAACACATCAAATAGATGTTGCAGAAAAAATACAATAAAAAGAATGAAGGAGAGAAAACTCTGAGTTTTATAGAATTGGTACAAACAGGGCTTTTCATACTCAAGATGAAAAATAAGTCCTAACAAGTATAAATTCTGAAACTGCAGTGTGTGTGTGTGTGTGTGTGTGTGTGTGTGTGAGAGAGAGAGAGAGAGAGAGAGAGAGAGAGAGAGAGAGAGAGGGAGAAATTTAAAAGGAACTGGAAACAAAAAGTATCTTATGGTAATTAAAGAGAAGAGTTTCACAGCAACAATAAAGTCTGGAGGAGTAGAGGGGGGAAGGGATAACTTACAAAATTCTGAGGGTGGAAAATAAACTCTTCATTCTAGAATTAAGTGCCAAGCTATTAATATAAAGAAAACTTCAGATAAATATTAAGAATGTTTATAATTCACTAGATCCTTGCTGAAAGAACTACTAGAGGATAAACTTTACAAGGAAATTAAACCCTGAAGGAAGGAGAGGAATAAAAGGAGCAATGGTAAGTAAAGTAACTGATGAATATGAAGATAAATACAAAAAAAACCCTGATTAAAAAAATGAAAAATTTAAGTAATATATAAGAATCAAGAATGACACCCAAGATCTCAAAGTGACCGAAGAATATCATCGATTGTTTGAGAAGCATAGAGCTAATGATTAAATAGATAAACTTAAACATTTGAGGTTAAAATTTAATAGTAAGCTTAAGAGAATAGAAATATAATCTAAAATTTATAACACAATGGAAAATTAAAACAAATTAAGTCATTATCTAGCAGGAAGAGAACAGATAAATAAGAAGTAAAAGTTCACACTTATTTAAAGTCAGCAACAAGGAAAGGATGTCTTCTACTACTGCTCCTATCCAGTATAATACTAGAGGTCTTAACCAAAACAATAAGACAAGAAAAATAAATTAAAGTCATAACAATCAGAAAAGAAGAAACAAATCTGCTACTACCTGCAAATGATATAACTGTCTGAAAAGAAAATATAACAAAATTACAGACATACTCATAGAGTTTAACAAAATTTTCATAATTGACAATCTGGATAAATCTCAGGAACATGATTTTTAATGAAAAGGCAAGTTGCAAAAAAAAAAAAAAAACTTTGGTATGGTATCATTTGTTTAAAATCTTCCTGAAACATTAATTATGTATATATACACATGTAGAAAACATGAAAATATACATGAGAATCATGCAGAGGAATGAAGCCTCTAACTTCACATATAGTTACTTCTGGGTCCAGGACAGTAGGACTTTAGCCATAGCTATAACATTTTATTTCCTTGAAAAAAAATTGATAAATATATGGCAAAATTTTAGATTTGGTTTTGGTAGTTGGCTTAGGGATCTCTGTTGTATTATTTTCCCTGTTAGAATTCTTTTATAATTAAAAAATAACAGCAAAAAAATTTATTGATCAAATTGACATTTTTTAACCAAGTTATTTCTCACCAAATTTTCTGATACGTTAGTTATATCAGAACACCTGGGATAATGTGGATAAACAATAAGTGATAAATTATATACATGGGAATCATATGAGCCACTTGGAGATTCACCTCCTCCCGACTCAATTTCTACTTTATTCTACTTTCCTTTTTTCTTTCTCCTGGTAGTTGCTGAGAGAAATCCCTGATGCATCTTAAATTTCCATGCAAATGAAGCACAGCACAGCAAGAAAAAGAATAAACTACATTTTCTCTCCCAGATTTTTAGACTTGTATTTGTTTGTGCCAGGTAAAGGCACAGAGAAACTGATTTATGTCTCGTGTTGCCTGCTCTTCCAGTGAAGCTCATCATTCAAACATTAGCGGGCTCGAAATCATCAGAGATATAGCTGCCAGCAATATATTAAACCTCTTACTTTTACTTGAGTCTTGGTTCCTATTTGATTTTTAAGAAAATCTCAAATAAAATCGCTTTTGGGAGGATAAAGTTGATGATGGATGACTTATACCCTAATTTCCCCCAACTCACTTTAAAAATTTATTTGCCTTGTAACAAAAGAAAGTTTTAATGTTGAAAACTAATGCTATAGCCTTCTGCTCTTTCCTTCATGAGCAGCAGGAGGAAGGACTCCTTTCCTCCATTACAGCTTCAATATGAACGATAGTAACTAGAACCCACAATACACAGGATGTATAGTTCTTCTCGGAATAGAGTTACCCTAGTTCTTACATAGCAAGTTAAAGGAAGAGTATTAAGAATATGTGCTTATGGCGAGGGATGCTTGAGTCTATGTGTGACTTGACTCCTATTAATATCCCACTCTGATTTCCTATTTCCACCTGACTCTGTAATACAAACAGGTTCACAAATATCACCAGAAAATAAATCATCAAGTAATATTTGTTCATCTAAACTACTAAGGGGTGACTATAAGGTGAAACTCATGGATCAGCCAAACACATACATTATTGGCCAAAAATCAGAATGCTCAAAATTATCTAACTGACTATATAAACAGCTGAAGTTATCTCAAGAGGTAGAAGATAACAGCATTTGTTATATTGATTTGTACAATGTGTTTGAACATGTGTACTGCAAATTTACTTCTGATCATATAAATAGGGGCTTAACCCAAATGTCTTCTTTTTACATGGGTATTAAATCAACACCCATGTTTCTGTCATATTCAGCTAAAAAAATCCCACAACACAAGAACCTGCAACAGCTGGCCCTTGGGGTGTGGAAACTACCCAGGCAGTTAACCAGAAAGGAAACTGAGACATTTATTTTTCAGCTCTTTACATTGTCATATTTGAAACCTGATCTTTAGGATTAAAAACAAACAAATAAACAACCCATTAGATGTCCAAACTGTTAAGAAGGCAGAAATATCGTCTCTAGAAAATGAACAGCTTATCCTGAGATAACCTGCAATAGCTTTTTGTTTGCATCATATGATTCCACATTTCTTAAAATTTCCATGTCTTTTTCTCCTGCATAGCAAACACATAGAGAGGGAGATACAATGAAGAAGGGGTACAAGAAGTTTAACCAACAAGATGCTGGAGAAACTCTTTGCTGGTACAAACTTGGAGCAACTCAACCAAATCACGCACGACCAAAGAAAACTGCACACTATCCAAGCTCCAACTAAAGAAAAATGCCCATTGGAGATGTCAGCTTTAAGATTTTGTTTTCTTTATTTGGGCTCCAAGGCAAAAGACCATCAACTGACATCATCTGTAAACTGTCTGGTTCATTGAATTCCTGAAACATGATATTGATTTTTTGAAAACAAATTAATTTAGATGCTGCACTAATAATTATATTTGGGCTATCAAAATTTAATCATCAATCACAAGATTAAATAATTTTAATCCAAGTTCTCAGCACAAAAATTGCTACTTTATTTCAACTTATCCATAAAGGTAAAAAAATACACATACCTCAACAAATATAAAACACGGGATGATGGAATAACTTCGCTGGGTGTTGCTTCCTACAGCCATTTCTTACACCATGTAGCGAGGCTGCACCATCCGCGACTGTCCAGGCTGAAACAGAAATATGTAGCAGGGTGTAAGACCATATGTTTAGTGGTCCCTTGAGTATTTACATAAGAATATCAGCAACCCTGTAGATAAGGCAAGCTGTATACAAACAATGCAAAATAGTGATCTACAACACAGTTACGTCAAATAATCATTCCAGGGAAAAGAAAATAATATATGCCAGCCATGAACAGCCGTAGAGACCAAATGCCCAGATAGGGAGCCCTGTGCACCTAACTAATCAGCAGAATTCTAGCTGCCTGGTGCTTCACAGTGCCTCAACCCAGCAGACTGCCCTCGTGCCCTGAAACAGTTGCGGCTGCAAAACATTTGGTAGTGTCCCTTCTGCATGGATCACCTCTTTCCATGCCCCATCCTCCTGGTTTGCAACTTTAGGTCTTATTTGTTTCTGTCCTTGCTGACATTTGTACTGAGGCACTAACCTCTGCTGTGACCACTCTTTGCCCTGGTTCCCTTTGCTACATGGCTATTAACTACTTTGGATTAATACATCGCTGATCCCCCCCCTCGCTGATTCCTTCAGTCCCGTGCCTGTGTGTGCACATGTGTGTGCGTGTTCCAAGTACAAAACACTGACAGCATAATACACTCTCTTAACTTACGAGATGGAATATCTGCACAACAGCCGATTGTTTTACAGACTTGTCCTTTTGAACTGAAAACATTCTATTAGGAGTTGACTTGATTTTGGATCCTCTTTAAAAACCAAAACAACACAGTTGAGATTTTAGATTTTTATGAAATTTCCAAGGCCAGATAAAAAAAAATTGTTTACTTCATCTCCGATTCTCTACGCAGAGCAAGACTTCCTTAACATGTGTCTGGCATCATTTGTCTCGTATCCCTGTGCCTTTCCAATGGTTCCTACGGGCTGTGATATAGAGAGTGCCTGAGAATGGCCAACTGTACTTTTCTTAAAGGTCATGAATTCGTGTTAATGTTTTCTAATGTGTTTTTCCCTGAACTAGGTCCTTCCTCGCCTTTTCCAGATTGAAACTAGAAAATACATTTCCTTTTCATTTTGAGAGACTAACTTTGGACACGTTGAGTGAAACTTTCTCTGATCAATTTTAACATTATGTGTGACAGACTCCATACCAATAACAAGGGCTACACTGAACCCTGATGAATGTTTTGTTACAACTACCTATAAGATACCGACAGTAGCAACCCCCTTTGCTCCCAAGTTGTGGCAACTAAAAATGTCCCCAGACACTGCCAAGCTATCTGCTTCAAGGGGGGAGAGCAACAGGGGTGGATATGGCCCCTGGTGGAGAACCACTAATTTAGGACAGAGAGCTGAGCCCCTAGAACATGAGAAACTTTGAGGTGGTGATGAACTTGCTCCACCTGGGATAAAGGTCACAGTTGAGCCAAACAGGACAAACCTCTCTCTAAGAGAGAAAATTACTGAGGCGCCTTACTGACATTTGGGGAAGTGAAGGGCATCTCAAGTTCAGAGGCCATTATTGGGGTCACACCAAAGCTCCTGTAAGTGGTTGTTACTATCACTCCGGACTCCAAAGGAAAGTGGAGATGTTTTATATGTTAGGTACTACATAGGCCCAGTCTCCAGTGCCCGTGAGCTATTTAAGAGCCCATGAAAATAAAGGAAGTGAACAGAAAGGCACCCAAACTATGCAAAACCAAATAACTAAATATGTAAGTATATACCTAAAAATGTCAGATTTTCACAACTCCATTCATTACTAAATTAAGTGTCCATAACAATTTAATTAACTTGAAAGTGACTTGTAGGTAAAATTTTCTTAATTCTAAAAATTTCTTTTCAGGGAAACTAAAATGACTGTAAATTAAATTAGTGACACAGAAAAAAAATAACTTCAGGAAAAAAGTTTTAAATTTTCATTTTGCCACAAAGTAAAAATTTACTATCAGATTACTTTTTTTTTTTAAAGATTTAATTTATTTATCTTTAGAGGGGAAGGGAAGGAGATAGGGAGAGAAATACCGATGTATGGTTGCCTCTCGTGTGTCCCCCTCTGGGAACTGGCCCACAACCCAGGCATGTGCCCTGACTGGGAATTGAATCGCGCGATACTCTGGTTCGCAGGCCCGTGCTCAATCCACTGAGCTACACCAGCCAGGGCCAGATTACTCTTTATGCGTTTATTATCATACAAAACAGAGCCTCAAAAAGCCAGGCAGAAAACAATCTTAAACAACCTTAAAATAGCCCTAGAGGGATTTTGCTTCCAGCCAAGAGGAAATGACTGTGACTGGATTTCACGCCTGACACAACTGAAAAATACAGACAAAATAAATGAGACAATGGTATTCCAGGCATTAAACTTGAGGCAATGAAGAGCAGTGATCCCTAAAGATGGGAACTAAAAGAAGTGAGCCCTGTGAGCGCTCTAGTTGCCTTCCTGGAGAGAGCCTGCAGGCCACACACAGAGAGGGGGAACTCAGAAAGGTGGCTGGCGGAGCTGGGAATGTGGGGAGGCCCAAGCAACTGGCGTTCCCACGGCAGAGCACCAGAGAACCCCGCACAGAGAGCTGGGTGGCTCTGCAGAGGGTCCCCTGAAGCCCACAGCACATGTACTGACAAGCATGGGAAGAAACGACCTAAGGGCCAGAGAGAATAATCATCGGGGCTCACACAGGGCCAAGAATACTTTCTGTTCCTACCCACCAAAATGAAAAGACCCCAGCTCACCAGTCGGAAGGTGGAGGACTTCGGTGTGGGTTAATTATTAACCCCAGCAGGAAAACAGTTCTCAACTGGGACCACCAGAGGTACTGAGCAGTATTCCTTGCAGAATATTCTCCCCACCCCTCCCTGGCCACTGTTTAATTTGTCTGGTACAGAGTACTGACTATTTACTGAGATTCTGGGCCACGGAGCACTGCACTTTCCCCTGGTGTCAGGGGACTCTGGAAGCAAGAATGTGACAACACAATCCATCCCCAGGCCATGTCAAAGATGACTCTGCTGTGAGTTTTACAACATTCAGCATGGTGAAACTTTCTATAAGGCCATTCTTCAGAATTAGGTGATGTAAGATTAAAATGAGATGATGTCTAGAATGGGGGAAAAATGAAGCTTAATTTTTACGTGACCCAAGTCTTATTTGGAGGTAAGGTATACGTGGGGGATTTCAGTAGAAAAGGTAAGAAAATATGAGTTGTGAGAGTTACATTTTATGTAAAATAAAATATATCAAAAATATGTAATGAGTTATCCACAATCCCCATCGTTAGCACAGGTGAACCAGGCAGTCACCTCCTTGGTGACACAGAGCACCCCCGCCTCCCACTGTTCGGGATCATTTCTATTCAGTACATTATCTCCAAGCAGGATCACCATTTGCATTTAATTTCTCTGACACTGGAAATCCTTTTTTTAAAAAAAATTAACAGAGACATTAAGGGACAAATTAAATGGGATTGTAGATGAGTACAAAACAGATTTCATCACGAGATGGCATGGGATTTACGATGGTGCTACTGAGGCTTTCGAGAGAAATACCTGGCATTGTTGAGTTTTAGAGATGCTTTTCAAAGCTTGTAAAGAGTGACAGTGTGAAACCCATGTATGATAGGAGGGTGGCATTGGTACACCCTTTTTTCTCTAACCTGTCCCCTTCCATAGTATCTCATAGCTAAATTCACTGTCCCGTCCTTGAACTAGCCCACATTAAGGCAGAGAGATATAAAGGGCATAAAACCCATAAACCAGGGAAATCCAGCATTGAGTCAAATCTCCACAAAATACACAGGACCCAGGAACCCTGGGAGGATACCTGGGCCTCCACCTTGTTCACAAATGGCTTTTTAGACCCAAATGTCATTGCTGATTCCCTCAGGGCTCCCATCATACACTGGCCTGGTTCTTGTGACCAGTCATTAGCTTTATCCCTACTTTTTTAATCCAATGAATCCCTTTCATAAAACCTCAGTCTCTCTCTGAGCCTGCATTGCTGTCTGGACCCCACTCAGTGACTAGGGTTCAGCTTTCCCATTTACCTCTAGGAGTCCTTCAAGCACAGAACACGCCTGGCTCACACTTCTGCCCCGAACCTGACTGGACAGTCTTTGAGACGGCCGTTTTGCCTCTTGTCACTTGAGTATTACTTGATGTCTGGGTCCCTGCTGCTGGGTCTTTCAGAACTGAGGCAGAACGTCACCTGGCTAATGTCTATGCAACAATAATTTTTGACTCTCTTAAACCTCTCCAGTCCCATTTTATAACAATCACCACCCCCTGCCCACCCCCAACCTTCCTGTACTTCAGCCACTCACTGAATTTGTGCAACATGCCAAGCTCTTCGTCACATCCGGGGCCTCTCACATCCACCCCCTCAAGTACTCCTTCTGCCTTCGTATTTGCCCAGCAAATATCTGCCCCTCCCTCAGGCCTGCAGTTAAACACCATTTTCAGTGGGAAAGTTTCCTTTACTGCCTGACTGGTTCCTATCTCTCTATTATACAACTTCATCCTCCTCCTCCATAATGTTTATTGTATAATTGTTTAGCATCTGTTCCTTTTCTAGAATGGCAGGAAGCTTTGCTCCATGTGGCCAGGGCCACGTTTATCTTGCTCAGCACTGTACCCTTAGCACCTTGCACGGTACCCAGCACATAGTAGGTGACAGATGTTGGCACTAACGGTGAGCTCCATCATTTGATATCACACTTGCCCTGGGTGGGTCAGTCCCTTAGATCCCGGCCCAGTCCTAATGTAGGTCTTGGGTCAGTCCCTTCTGCTTACTCCATCCAGGTCAGATTCACTGCACCTTGGACCCAAACAGCAATGAAAAATAAAGTGTCAGGAAGGCCTGGAAATCAAAATGTAAACCAGAACATATTTCAAAATGTAACGTTGAAAGGCAAAATTATTCCACTAAATTCTATCTCTGGGTCTTTTTGATTGTTAAAAAAAAAGTTTAGATTGCTGCTTTAAAAAATATGTTCCTTAATTAAATATAACAAAAGCTAAAGTGAAGTAGGGGAAAAAT